CGTCGCCAGGCCCCTGGTCCGGCCCTGTTTCCTTTGCTCCCCGCCCCAACCAGTGTGCGCGTCGTCAGCCCGGTCCGGCCCGTTCCTGCTCCCCGCACCAAGCCAGTGGTGCACGTCGTCAGCCCGGTCCGGCTTGTTCCCGTACCCCGCACCAAGCCAGTGGTGCGCGTCGTCAGTCCGGCACGGTCCGTGCCTGTTCCACCTGTGCCTGGTCCGGCACCGGTCAGCTGCCCCACGCCAGAGCAATCCGCTCCACCGGTGTTCAGTCCAGCTCCGGTCAGCAGGGCCAGACCACGAGGGCGAGAGAGAGAGTGGTGGTCACGCCCGGCCCCTCCCCTGTGGTGTTTGGTTGGCGCGGTCGCAGTCCGCGCCTTTGGGAGGGGGGGGGGGTACTGTCACGCCCTGGCTCTGGGGACCCTTTAATGTTGAGCCAGGGTGTTAGCTCCTATGTTTAATTGTTCCTTGTTTTCTGTCTAGATCGTTTAGATCTATGTTGGCCAGGGTGGTTCCCGATCAGAGGCAGCTGTTGCTCGTTGTCTCTGATTGGGAACCATACTTAGGCAGCCTGTTTTGCACAGTTGATTGTGGGATCTTATAATAATATAATAATAATATGCCATTTAGCAGACGCTTTTATCCAAAGAGACTTACAGTCATGTGTGCATATATTTTTACGTATGGGTGGTCCCGGGGATCGAACCCACTACCCTGGCGTTACAAGCGCTATGCTCTACCAAATGAGCTACAGAGGACCACTTGTTCTGTATAGGTTTGTGTTGGTGAACCTTTAGACTTCACGTATCGTTTTGTTGTTGGTGTAAAGTACTCATTAAAAGATGTACGCCTATCACGCTGCGCCTTGGTCTGCCTCTTACAACGATCGTGACACATAGGATATCAACAGTGACAACGGTTGGCAGTTATTTAAGTGATAGTTTGACTGTCAAATCCATGAATTGGTGTGTGGCCAACGACTTTTATAGAGAGACCGCCTCAAATTTTCTGTGCCATTTCTAAGTCCTTCACATCCCAGTGTGTGTGACAAAATCATCCATACAAGGCCAAAGATATTGATCTGTTTTAAGCAATCAATCTTCTCTTCTCTGTCATCAAGGCAAAGGATGGCTACTTTGAAGAATCTCAAATATAAAATATATGTTGATTTGTTTAACACTTTTTTGGTTACTACATGATTCCATATGTGTTATTTCATAGTTTTGATGTCTTCACTATTATTCTGCTATGTAGAAAATTGTAAAAATGAAGAAAAACCCTGGAATGAGTAGGTGTGTCCAAACTTTTGACTGTTACTGTACATACAGTATATCTATATTGTATAGTTATAACCCTTAACTAATACTGTTTACATGTGTGCATATCTTTGTCTTATAGAACCACAACAATAAGATTCCAAGTTATTCGGATTACCACAATCATATAAACATCCTCAAATACAAACAGCTGTGTCTGCATGTGTGCGTGTGGTGGTGACCAAGTGTTTAGTATGGGCCTCAACATCATGTTCTAACCGGACAGCACTATAGTGCGCAGAACCAAACCAATCAGTTATAAGTATATAGCGGGTGAGGGCATTCACAGCCGACCGCTCAGACGGGTGAGGGCATACTAGCCAGCTGTTTTACGTGGTCTTTCTAGCTGGATTTAGTGACTAACAGTATTTTACATGGTCTGTCATTTCTTTAGCGACCAATAGTTTTTACAGTCATTGTGATAACTATAAACTTTTATACTAACATCACCAATCTGAGGTAAAATGGATGTGTAATTCCACTACATTTTATGGGGTGAAAATGCAGGCTTGTAGTAACACAAACTGTCCACAGTCCACATTCGGGAAATTAGCAGAATATACAATAACTTACTATGCCAAAATAATTCAACATGTCAATTTAAGATGACAGTATACAGTATGTTGCCCACTGTCAGAGGTGCTGATGTCTAAGTGGAGGTGGAGTCAGGCGCAGGACACAGAAGCTTAGTCCAAACAGACTTTACTAGTCAGGAAAAAGGACAATACAAAATAAAGGGCCTCAAACGACGGAGGCGCGTGATACGCAGACAGTGCGTAAAACACTAAATATAAGAGATGTGCAAACAGTGCGTCAATACTCTTGAAAAAGAGAATGCAAAAACCAACAACCCCAACGGACTGGCGTACAATTACACACAAATAACTACAAATAAAACGAGAAACTTATAGGAGACATAATGAACACTAAATGGAAACAGGTGTACAAAGAAGACAAAACCAAACAAACATCGATAACATTCAACGGTGGCAGCTAGTACTCCGGGGACGACGAACGCCGAAGCCTGCCCGAGCAAGGAGGAGGAGCAGCCTCGGCAGAATTCGTGACACCCACTCACAAACTATTGCAACAATGACATCTATTTCTCACTCACCAGCACCCCATCTTATATGTCCAACCACCCCTCAACTTCAGACTCTATTGAAGCACCCATCTTACTTCTATGAGCCCACTCTACCTACATCCCTTTTCCCTATGCCGCTTCCTTCGTTCATTCCTGATTCAATACCATCTAGACTGTTACACGTCTAAAAGTTTCATGGTGTTACTTTTTCTCATCTGTGTACCGCTGTCCTACTTTTGCCCCCAACTCTTTTCTACACCTCCTCCCATACACTCTTGTGCAAATAATTTCTGCTTTCTTTGACAATGGTGTCATAGTGGAAAGGATTTGTTAGTTGCCCAAGACTGAGCCTTGTTCTGCCTGTAAAAGGCCCTGGTCGAAACAATGCCAAAATCACTTTTGATAGTCTCTGGGTCCACGTTGTAACAATTGTTTTTTGCATTTGACCATTTACAATAAATGTGGCAATATATATGAAAGCATTCCTCTGCCTGTTTCATCCATTCTGAAGGAAAGCAGTGACTACGTTTTGTGTGTGTGAGAGAATATGTATGCCTTGTAATGCTAGCAGAAAATCGTTACTTCCGAATGCAAGTTAAACGCCATTCCGTCTATACTGATACCAGACAAATGTATACTTATAAGCATTTTCCAATATATTTCCAATATACTGCAATGCTATGTAGCTGAAGAGGGGTGACACTGTCTAGGATAGGAGTGTCGATCAGTTTCTGGAGGTCTGTGTTCACTGGCATTTACTCTCACTTCTGCATCAAATCAACGTCTACAATAAATATTCTAGTTTATTTTATTACAAATATAGCAGTACACAGTCCTCCAGAAATCTGTTGACAATAACACATTCCTGTGTATTGGATCCTCTGTATATAGAAAAACGGCAAAAAAAAAGATAATTTGGTATTTTCCATTGCTACTAACGTATGCTGGTTAAAAGTATAATTAAAGAAATGCACACATTTTTGCCACGCAAATATAGTCCATATATTTAGCTTTTTAATTGAACCATGTTTAGTACATCTAAAAGAGACAATGAGAAATTAATGGTTCAACAAGACAACATAGCCATCAAAAGGGTAGAAATGTAGCACTGCACTTATGTCACAGTACTTTACAGCTTTGATTGGATACATAGAATATATGACAAAGGGTGATGTAATTATCTGAATTACTGTATATTTGAATAGTTTAATCAAGAGTTAAGTATGGTTATAAGTCCAATGTGAAGATCTCAATTGAGGATTTCTTTATGAAGGAGGTGTTATTCATATACCATTCTCACACTAAATAATCAACATATTATACTGAACAAAAATATAAATGCAACATGTAAAGTGTTGGTCCCATGTTTCATGAGCTGAAATAAAAGATCCCAGAAATGTTCCATTCGCACAAAAAGATTATTTCTCTCAGATTTGGTGCACCAATTTGTTTACATCCCTGTTAGTGAGTATTTCTCCTTTGCCAAGATAATCCATCCACCTGAGAGGTGTGGCATATCAAGAAGCTGATTAAAAAGCACACCTTGTGCTGGGGACAATAACAGGCCACTCTAAAATGTGCAGTTTTGTCACACGACACAATGTCACAGATGTCTCATGTTTTGAGGGAGCGTGCAGTTGGCATGCTGACTGCAGGAATGGCCACCAGAGCTGTTGCAAGAGAATTTAATGTTAATTTCTCTACCATAAGCCGCCTCCAATGTCATTTTAGAGAATTTGGCCGTAAGTGCACCTGGCCTCACAACCGCAGACCACGTGTAACCACGCCAGCCCAGGACCTCCACATCCGGCTTCTTCACCTGCGGGATCGTCTGAGATCAGACACCTGGATAGCTGATGAAACTGTGGGATTGCACAACTGAAGAATTTCTGCACAAACTGTAAGAAAAGTCACAGGGAAGCCCATCTGCGTGCTCGTTGTACTCACCAGGGTCTTGACCTGACTGCAGTTCGGCATCGTAACTGACTTCAGTGGGCAAATGCTCATCTTCGATGGCCCCTGGCACGCTGAATAAGTGTGCTCTTCACGGATGAATCTCGCGTCGCGTTGCCGAGTGGTTTGCTGATGTCAATGTTGTGAACAGAGTGCCCCATGGTGGCAGTGGGATTACGGTATGGGCAGGCATAAGCTACGGACAACAAACACAATTGCATTTTATCGATGGCAATTTGAATGCACAGAGATACCGTGACGAGATCCTGAGGCCCATTGTTGTGCCATTCAACAGCCGCCAACACCTCATATTTCAGCATGATAATGCACAGTCCCATGTCGCAAGGATCTGTACACAATTCCTGGGAGCTGAAAATTTCACAATTCTTCCATGGCCTGCATATTCACAAGACATCTCACCCATTGAGCATGTTTGGAATGCTCTGGATCGACGTGCATGACAGCGTGTTCCAGTTCCTGCCAGTATCCAGCAACTTCGCAAAACCATCGAAGAGGAGTGGGACAACATTCTACAGGCCTC